CTTTGCCAACCAGTCCATACCCACTACTATGTCAAATTCTTTCATTGGCATAGGAAATAACCGGATCGGAAGTTCACAATTTTCAATAACAATAGTACAGTTATTGTACACACTAGTGACAGTTTCCTGACCATTAGCAGTATCAACTACTAACTCATCATCAAGTAACACAGAATTCAAACATGCAGTTTGAGCAAACAATTGTGATACAAACGAAAAGTTTGCACCAGAGTCAAATAACACTTTAGCACGTATTAAATTCAGGAGGAATGTACATGTTACTATATCCGGTGATGCTTCTGCCTCGTTCTTAGTCATTTGGAAGGATCGTCCCCGTGCCCCTCCTTGCCCTCCTCTATTCACAGTAGGTCTTCCCCGTGTACCCGACGCATTACTTCCCATTGTTAACTGTGGAGTTCTTAACAAAGGACAATTCGGTCGAATATGATCCGGAGAATTGCAATTGAAACACCTTTTGTTGGTTGGGCAATTTCTAGACAGATGACCTGCTTCACCACACTTGTAACATTTCCTTGGATCCATCTTATCGTTACCTTGATGAACTTTCGCACTGCTCTTTTGTTCAGATCGGTTATCATATCTCACAGTTTTTGGTCCTCGGAAAGATGAAGGTCCTTCCCATTTTCTTTTCTCCATAACTTTTCCTTCTGATTGCCGATTCTTATTTCGTTCGGTCACCTCAGCCACGTCCACAATAAGTGAGAAGGTATTAGGGTTCATAGCAATAACGAACTCTCTAATTGAGGGTTTCAATCCCCAAATATATCTTTCTATCTTTCTGGATTCATTTGAAACATAATGTTCAGCAAAACGAGAGTATTCAATAACTCTTTCGGTATACTCCCGTACTGTTCCATTTCCTTGTTCTAGCTTCAGGAAATCTTCTTCCATTTGTCTCACAGCCGTTTTAGGACAGAATTGATTTTTAAATCTATCCACAAATTCTACCCATGACAGAGTTTGTAAAACATCCGTTCTGGTAGATGATTCAACTTCCCACCAAAATAAAGCATTTGACTTCAATACCGAAACAGCAAAACGCACTTTATCTGTTTTCGGACACCGAATGGTGTTGAACACAGATTCCATTTCCTTGATCCAACACATTGCTTTCACGGGATCTCTCTCCCCAGAGAAGGTTGGTGGTTTACACGCTAAGAATGTCTTAATATCTCCTTCTTTATTATGAGTAATTGGAGGAGATGGATAAACCTCTACTCTTTCTGTTTCTACTCTAGCAGGTATCCCCATAATAGATATAAGAGTTTCTCGTAATTTCCCCATTTCCTCTGCTAACACATCTCGGGTTATATATTCTGGGTGTGGTACTGTTCCTCCCTGAACATTTCCAGAGTGGGATTCTTCCTATTCAGAATGTATTTCAGCCCGACTCCTTCCCTGAGACTGACTTCTTTCTCTTCCTCGTCCTCTTGGTCTACCTCGACCTCTATTTCCAGCCGTACTAGTTGGAAGATTAACCAAAGATTCTTCTCTTTCTTCAGATTCTGGACGAGCTATTCTTTCAGATCTTCTGGTTTGGTTAGACATCTGTATAATTTAATATTAATATTCACGTATTCACATTCCCAAATATAATAAAGTATTCAAGTTCAGATATGTACCTGTAAATTTATAATTACATTGGCCAGATGTAACTAAAATTTACCTTACACACTGTTCTTTTAACCCATCATATTTATTTCCAATGGTGTTAATTATGTCTGGGACCCTTAACATGCAATAAAACAGTTTAAGTCTAGGTATCATGCTGTTAAAATACCTAAATCCCTTAAACTCAGGCTCTGATACCATTCTGTAACGCCCCAACCCACACATTGMATGTAWHACATATTTCATACCAAAGAAATACATATTCATATACATCTGGGTCCCTTAGTATAAGAATCTATCATGACCAAATACAAGGTCCAAAAATTCAAAATACAATCTTGTACTAATCAACAAAACTATACATCAAAAGCAATTCCTCATCCATAATGCATATAAGAAAAACATTACATCTTTCCCTTTCCCTTACCTTCTACACCTCCTGCAATACATATTTCAAAATCACAAAAAGAGGGTTATACTAAAGAGTCTAGTGAGATACCCTATTCATGTTATTGCAGGGTGAAGGATCACCAAAACTTTTATAAATACAACTATTCATATATATAACAAATATATGAATACACAAGAACGAAATACCAGATCATTTACCCTCTTTTCAAGCTAATCACATAGCTATATAATTTTCATATCTTTGAACCAAACGGTTTCCATATAATGCCACTTTTTAAACCTTTTCTCATCAAATAAGGTTTGAACAAAGTTTGAGGCCAAACCTGACGTTTCCTCCTCAATAACATCCAGACTATGATTTCCATTAAGAACCTTGATCCTAAATCTTTAAATCACAAAGAAATAAAGATTCCAAACCACGGTAGTCTTAAGGGATATAATAGAAAGAGTTATTTTATACAACATATATACCATGCCACCCTTATATCCAAATGTACACCTCTCCTTGATATGCCACCCTTATATCAAATGGACATCTCTCCTTGATATGCCACTCTTATCACTTCATCAAAACATTTACAAAAATAATTCCGAATAGACCGCAGCCATTGGAATTGTTATCAGTCCGAAATCATTTATATCAAAACTTCATTTATGATAAAATACCAATTTCTTTTAAAATCAGAAGACATCATCTCAAATCCGGTCAACAAATCCGGTCAACAACCGATCAACAATCCGGTCAAYAAYCGACCGGTTTAAACACTTGGAATAAAAATCTACTTTGTCCGGATATCAAGTCCGRATAACAATCCTTTCAAGCTTTGATCGRTTTAACACTTARAAAAAGTCATCCTTTGACCGGATATCAAGTCCGGACAACAAATYCTCTCAAGACTTGACCKATTTAAATAAATCGTTCACCATTTGATCGTATTCCTACTTCTYAGTATAAAATGACAAGTATTCTTATCATTTATAAACCGCTCAACACTTAACCGGTATATCAAAATCCGGACAATAAACTGCTCAAGCTTTGTCCGGTTTAAACTAATCCGGACAATAAGCCGCTCAAGGCTTATCCGGTTTAAATACTTATCCGGACACTTTTTGTCCGGATAAACACTTAAACAAAAATACATGGTTTCAATCTAAAGAGTAATAACATGAAATATACAAATAAAACCAGTAGTAATTTTATGCAAAAAGGTTTTAGAAACCACTCACCTTAACAAGCTTTTGAACCAAATTCTTGAAATCAACTTGAAATCACCTCTTTTCTCTATCCAGAGAACACTCTCTTTTAAACCTCTCAATTCTTCTCAAAATAGCAGGGATCATCAAGTGAAGAGGCTAAGCCTCTTTTATACCTTCCAAATAGAGTAAGGCGGCTTAAACCGCCTTCCCTCTTTCCACCTCATGCATACCCAATATGCACACATAAACATGCATACACATACATACATTTATATTTCATGCATGCATTTTAATTATATATATTTATATATATATATATATATATATATTTTCAATAATTACATAATTCCACATACCAACATGTATCAACTTATCATGATATCACGTAATCATTTAATCAAATAATCACGTATTAAATACCTTGGGTAATAACCAGGATCTGGTTATCACAAATTTATTAAATTATAATAGAATTATTAATTTTTATAACAAAATATATCATTTAAAGTTTTCGTCAAAACAATTAAAATGACACCAAATAAAAAGTTTATGTAGCTTCCAATTTTTATTTTTTATCTCTTTTCTACATTCTCTTTTATTATTACTATATAATGAATTACATAAATTAATAAAAATATAAAAATCATATAAAAATAATATTTTGAGAACAGTAAAATAAAAGTTTAAGAAACATAAAATACAATAAATAAAATTTACAAAATGAATAAAATGTAGAAAAGAGACCTATTTGATTTTTAGAAGATGGGACAGAGATCCCTATCTTGTTCTGTCATGTCCAGTGTACCAAATGCACCCTAAAAATACCACATTTGCAGCTACTTATTTTCCTGTTTCGCTCACATTAATTAATTTAGACTAGAGTAAATTACGTTTTTAGTCCTTATGGATTGTTAAAAATTACGGACTTTTTATTCCTATGGTTTATAATTCATTTTTATTTTTGTCCTTAAGTCCAAATTACTACTTTTAGGTATGAACGACTAAAATAGAAATCAATTGCAGATTATAAGAACGTAGAAAACAATAAATTATTTAATTAACATATTATATTATTTAATCAATTTAAAATTATTTTAATTAACATATTATATTATTTAATTTTTTTCTACGATCTTGTTTTTATTAAATAACATATTTTATTGTTAAAAATTTGTCTTAATTTTATTATAAAATGTTGTAATCGACTAACTTTTCAAGATGTCCTTTTTAGTAATTTTACATTTTTCATCTAATTTATGAATTAGTTTCTGTCACGTGTAATTAGTTCATTAACTAGCTAATGAGTTCACCAAACATGGCGAATGACTTCACTTGGTTTGCAACTCGATTTCCTTTTCTTTGAGGCATTTGGTCGAACACTTTGCAAGGTACACTACAAAATGACTTCACTTGATCTGCTATCTTACCATCTCCAATAAGCCATTCTATCTTTTCTTATGAACTAACAGCTTTTTGAGAAGCTTTGGATCATGCCAAATTTCATCATAGTATGTATTCAAATAATATAAAGTCGACATAGGACAACGAAACACAACAAATGCTGCCGAGGGGTTGTTACTGGAATCACGGTCGAGATCTCAACCAGCCATAAATCGGCTTTTCCTAAATTCTTTCACTTCCCTCTATGGTTTCGAGTTCATATAACTACAAATGCTTGTTTCCTTTGCACAGACATCATGTTAACTGGACTGCAAAAGAATTACCTGCAGCACATCTTTGCCTTCGAGGCCGTCTGGTTGTCTTTCCCCATCCCACCACCTCAATGTTGTTAACCTGCTTAGGTGACGATGGCAGAGGTGGAGGTGGTGGTGGTGGTGGTGGTGGTGGCGGTGGAGAGGCGGTCGGAGTTGTCTCCACCGCCTTCACCTTCCGCCTTCCCCGGGCTTTTTTCCCATTCTTCCTCGTCGATCCTAAATTCCAAGAATGCCCTGTAGCTCTCATCAACCCTCCGAAGACCTGGAGATCTTCGGTTATTTCATGTCTTGATAAAGAAGCCATGCCTGGAAGGATATCCCTTTGGAAATCCCTCCGTGGCCTTCCTCTCCTTGCTTGCCCTCTGCGGGGCCTACTCGTTAAAGCAGGCCCCACGTCATCTGGTTCCTGAAATTCTTTAGGAACCAACGGCATAGGCATGTAATCTTCTTCTTTAGTCTCCTCTAGTTGTAAGGCCATCATCTCGTATTCATCCATCTCACGAGCTTTTTTCTTGCAAGAATTTATCACCTCGACAAACCATAAGAGCGGATCATCGTCGTTCTTGGCTCCATGAACTGGAGACCCCAGATGATCTTTCTGACCAGATATCGCAATGATGGCTTCAGCTGCAATCTTTGCAAGCTCTTCGCTTTCAGAATGATCAGGTTTTTGTTCGATTTCCTCCTCAATCTCCGAAACAGCGGGTGCTTCTAAATCTATTTCCATTGTCATCGTCTTCTTCGAGCTTTTGTAAGACTCCGTTACTAACAAATCATCATCCTCCTCAGTCACACACGAGTTCAAGTCAAAATGATTCTTGAAATTCTTGATTTCCGCATCTGTTTCTTCCCTTTTTTCGTTACAACTTTCAATATCAATCTGTTTGTCGATATGCTCAGAAGCCGTACCATCATCCCAAGCCACATTGACGTCAATTCCTCTGTGTTCCATTGATGCAGATGTCGAAACTGCAGATGAAGCATCGTTTTTTGTAATACAAACGTTCCCAAAAATTGGAAACCCTAATAGCTTTCTATTAGTAGCAGCCAGAGAATCATCTTTCTCCTTTGGCACATCAACTGTCTTAGCTCTAAGCCATGGCAACACGGTTTGGTCGTGTTTTCTTGAATCATCATCATCTTCATTCGACAAAGTTTGAACAGTATTCAAGTCCAAACCTTTGGTAGTATCCGTCAAATCTACAAAGTTTGAACCTTTGAAGATCTTTTGAGACCCCCCATTAATCTTATTGCAGTTTCGATAATCAAAACCAACCGAAGGAAAACGAGCAGATCGTTCTTTCGACCCAGATGACGACCCATGGTAAAACCCATTGCAGGAAGGTATATCACTTCCTGAACCCGTATTCATTCCATAACCACCATTTCTATGCCACTTGTCTCCAAAAACCTCCCAGCTCCATGGAGATGATAGGAATGACGGGTGTGTTTGAAACGAGGTCAACTTGCGAGTCGAGCTATCATTTGGTTTTCCCCAAGATGGACCCAAGGGGGCCCACGAATTTCCGATATCTGAGGTATTAACAAACTGGTATTCGCTAGAAGCACCAAAGATCAAAGGGGTTTGATTTAAATGGGAATGATCTTGAATTTGGGAAGAGATTTCTGAATATGTTGCTCGGCGTTGAACTTCTTTACCATGTAAGCGTTGCATTGTATCAGACGGTATCTGCAACTTTCTGGGTTCAAAACATTGAGATGTGTAGTTCATATTGCTTCTACTATTGCCTGTTAACATGAGCATACATAAAACTGAATGTTATCCTTCAATAGACAAGTTGAACATCGAGATCTGAAGTTCAAATTCACAAAAGTGAACACCAATGATCTCATAAATCTTGCTCATTTTGCTTTAAGATTCCATTTTTTTACATCCAATAGTTATTTTCTTCTTTGTTTTAGCGTATCCTATATTCATTCTCTTCGTCTATTTTGCATTATTTAGACCGTGTTTGGCACCATAAGCTAACTTATTTTTTGAGCATATTGAAAAAGCTCCATTTGATGAGTCATAAGCTGGCTAATAAGCTAAATTATAAACTAGCTTTTTCAAAGCTACTTCAAGTAGTGTTTCAAAAACTCCAAGGGCCTTTTTCCACCTTTTTTCCAATTATGCCTCCTATACTTTTCCAATTATTTTCTCAACATGTCCTTTTAAGTCACTTTACATTGTCATCTAGCATATCAGTTGGTTTATACCAAACATTACTAGCTTACCAGCCAATAACTAGCTTACCGGCTAGTTTGCCAAATATAAGAACTTTTAAAAGAGATGGAATCACCTGGTTCGTGCAGACAGGAGGAAAACCTATCTCTTCCATTGCCTTTTCCCTCAAGTGGTAGATGGTTGAATGTTTCTGGTTTTACAGATGCGCCAAAAAAGTCGACAGGTGGAAGAGCAGTTGCATCTTGAATGTAAACCGGTTCATTAAGATCAGCCAGCCCATTAGATCCCATGAAGTGTTGACCATCTTTGTAACTATCTTTCTTCCCACCATCATCAAGAAATCTTTTTACTCCATTTTTAGGCAAAAAGATGTTCTCTTTTGAGGGGTAGCTCGAGATTTCAGATGCCTGGTTATCTACCATCTGTTCACCTTCTTCTGGCTCAATGTACTCATGGGCCGGAAGTTGAAGATCAAATAACTTTTTCCTAACTTTTGAAGGTCTACGTTCCGATAGCTCGCAATCCTTTGAGGCATTCCCTTTTGAACAGCTTAAAGGAGAATTACTTATCTCCGCTCCAAAAATGGATGGTCTAGCGGAAGTAGAGTTCACTAATGGGAAGCTAGAAATCTGCCATTTGTGAGCATCTCGATAAGGTTTTTGAGATGGCATGATGCTCGAGGAAGATGATGTGTCGATAGAAATCTGATATTTATGGAACTCCCTCCTTTTAACTTCTTCCATCATGTCTCTTTGTCTTATATAAAGACGGTGGAGTTCAGAAACCTGGTATGACAACACAAATCAAATGAATTGCGTACCAAACCAAACGAACCCAATAAACCCCACTCGGAAGTAGGGTTACGGGGGAGAGATGTATGCAGACATGACCTCTACACCCCAGGGGCTATTTCCATGAAGACCCTCAACACTATATCATGTAAGATCCCATTCCCCCGTCTATTGTCATTGTGCACTACCAATAAAGTGCTTGCACCTTGTTTTAGTTTTCAGAGGTTATTTGGACCACTTCCTTCGGACACGGTGCTAGAATTGATATCAAAGTAGTGGTTCCTCAAGGGGTAGTGGGGTTACACTCATGCATCTCTTGAGAATGATGGTTCTAGCCAGACCCATTGGGATTGAGAATGTAAACCAGACCAAACCAAAAGAAACGCCCAATATATCCCACCAGGAGGTGGGGTCTGGGAGAGATGAGATGTATGCAGACCTGACCTCTACCTTAAAGATTAATGCGGTTGTTTTCGTGAAGACCCTGGATTGTGAATGGTGAGACCCTTTGAAACGCTACTAATAACCTCCTTCAGTAGTTTCACTTCCACATTTGGAAGCCATTGGGCCGGCAAATTCAATCAAAAACAAGGCAAGAAAGAAGGGATAGAGATACCTGGTTCTTGAAAATGGCTTCGTGTTGAAGCATTTTTTGTTTTAATTCGTCTTTGTCATGACCTAGATATGCGTCTGTGACCATTCTTGGAGTAAAACCATCGTAATAATGGCCGTTTGTCAAGGCATTATCTCCATAAAAGAGATGCCAGCCACTGCTATTGGAATCTTCATTCACATTTCTCATGGAGTAATATCCTGGGAACAAGCTCTTATAATGTACTTCTGTTCCCATTCCTGTTAATTCATCAATCCAAAAACATTTAAAATACAAAACTCCATCGGCAAACATATTTGTTAACAGGGAACGAATTCTTAACATTTAACTTCAACCAACATTAATATAAAGCGATCGATCATGCTATCTATGAGAGTCGATCTACACAAGTATATGCTTAGAACAACCAAATCTTGCATAATTCAAGTCCAAAGAGCATTATATATCATTCAATGAATTACCATGAATGCATCAATGGGCACGTAACTCAGTATCTCCCACCCGGAGGTGGGGTTTGGGTTTGATATGTATGCAGACCTAACCTCTCCTACAAGCAACAGATGGGTGTAAAAAAGAGACACCATCTGTTTCAACAAGTCCGTCTGCTTGATTTGTTGTACCATGTTAACAACACCAACCAACCATAATGGCTAAGATCGACAATGTGGATCTCGACCACCACAAACAGAAGGTGATAAAGAGAGTTCCATAATTGTTTTCAACAAATCCGATTTGTTTGCCATACCATGTCAACAAGATTGGACGACAAAAGACAATAGCTTAATCAAGACAAAAAGGTAATAAACACGTAAACTCAAGAAAGCTGTCTAATTCCATTTATACATAAACATGACCCCAATATGAAACCTATTAGAGTCAAAAACCGCAATTAGTTACTAAATTATTGCCAACAATCCAAACCAAAACTCAATCAAATTACACAATCCCTTGTCAAGAACAATGAAAAACCAATTCCTTCAAATCCGAGATTAAATTTACGGCCAAACTCGAACAATCTATAACTCGACAACACCACAATTTAGCATATCAAGAACCCTAACCATCAGTAAAGGAAGTTCAAAATTTTCCCCCTTTTGTAGCCTATATAAATTCAGAATCTAAATCAAACAAACAACAGATCCCATATAGAACAAGTGTTTTTGGTTAGCGAAAGCAACATCAAATGCTTAATCCAAGTATATAAATTCAATAAAAGTTATCAAGAATCTAATTTAAGAAACGATTAAGAAATCAAGAACCCTAAAATCATGCTCCCACATGACATAAAACCAAAGTCCATTTCTATTTTTTGAAAATTCAACCCAGGTACTTTTCAAAATCGAATAATTACATTGATAAATTTAGTAATTTTGCTATTTAATGTAATCACCAACTATTGGGTCGATACCCAGATCAATTATTTCATCAATTTTTTGAAGTTTATAAGAAAAGATAAAAACGAAACTGATTAAAACGAAACCCCAAAAACCACCATGAATCAGAAACCGAGAAATTGAAGGTAAAATTTACCTTTAGACCCACATCCTTATCTGCCCTGTTCTTGAAGAAATTAAGATTGAGTGATTCATGGAGGTATTCTGTTCATCTACCCATGAACTCAAGAAATCTTGAAATCAGACGAAATTTCAAAAATAGCAAAACATGGAAACAGGTGTTGGTACTGATTACTATTTGATAGTAATAATGGTTAAGAGATAGAGAACCACCATTGAAGAGATCAGTTGTATGGGTATGAGAAATACAATGAAGATTTTCGATCTGCTGGGCCAGTCCCTCTCTCCCCCCTGAAAAGAAAGAAGGGTTTGTTTTACAGAGAGAGAGAGAATGAAAGATTGGGTTTTTAGAGAGAGAAAGTTGGGGTTTTTTTTTTTTGAGGAGAGAGAGATCCCAGATAAGAAATCTTCACACAAACAAACGACCTTCTAAGAACAGTGACATGAATTTTGTCAACATCCGGTCTATTTTTATTCTCTTCTTTTTCTTCACTCCTCTCTCTCTCTCTCTCTCTCTATATATATATATCTCTATATATATAACATATATATACAATATATATGTATGAATTTTCTTTTATTTTTCTTGGGTGAGAAAATAATTTGTGGGATTGTGAGGAAATGGAAAGAAATGGCCATTGGCCATTTGTAGATGCTCTCCGCCATTTTTGCTTTTGGTACTTGATTTTAATGTGATATTGTTTTCATATACCAAAATGGTCCAATCTTTTCTAAGAGCATCCAAGGGAAGGAGCATGTTCTTATGATAATTTTGATTGTAGTTTTTATTCGGTTATATTAAGAATTTAGGTAATTACACAAGGTTTTTGTCTTGTTTTCTTGTATTATCGTTGATTTAATTAACAAGTCGTTATGTTTTTTATGTCATGTTTGATAACTATAAGTTAACTTATTTTTTGAGTTTATTAAAAGGTCTTGTTTTATTTATTATTAGAAGGGTACTCGCACAATGCAGCGAGATACATCTCGAGTTTAATGTTTTGTTTTATTTTGTTGTCTCGGTCAATGTCATAAAAAAACTGGAAAAAAAAATTATCGACATTAATACCAAAATGACTTTAAAATTTCTCCTTTTTTTGTGTATTTCTTTAATTCATTTCTTTTGGTTTAATAATATAATTTTTTATAAAAATAATAATTAAGTATTTTGTTATGACTCAATGATTATCTTAATTATATTTTAAGTTTTTTTGTATTTAAATGAGATATTTATCCTCTATTTGATTATGTTTATCTGCAGTTAGTTACACGAATTCAAACATGAAGCTTTAATAAGTTATACTTACGCAAAATTTATATGTAACTTTGATTTTTAAGTAATATGCATCAATAAACAATACTTCATGCATAAAAATGGTTTTTAAGAATTTTTGTCAAATATTTTATAATATAATATAGATAAACTAGCTTGGGTCATGTTGGATAACCATAAAATAATTTATTTTTTAAGTTTATTTTAAAGTGGTGCTTGGATTACTTTATAATTTCTCTAAAATAGAGACCTAAAAGTCAAAATCTTTAAAAATAATAACATTTAACTTGAACGGATTCTTTAATTTAGAGATTTCAACATTCATTATATTATTAAAATATTCCATAAATTTATTATCTTGATACACTTTTTAAGAAAAAAATATAAAATAATAATAATTCAATCTTATTGGTAGAATTAAAAAAAAAACTAATTTCCCTCTCCACATATCAAATTTTAGAGAATTTTCTAAAATTTCTCTAGGTTTCTCTATTTTAGGTAGTGTTTGGTACGCAGACTGTATGAGACAGGACGGGACGGTACGGAACAGGACAGGATAGGACTAATTGTCTGTCCTAGGTTTGGTACGACTAGGACATGACAGGACAAAACTATTAAAATGATCATATTACCCCTAAATTTTGTTCAATGTTATTTTATATCATATATGATTGTAAAATGACAACCAAATAAAATATTGTATTTTTAACTTTAGTCCCATGTTGTTCCACCTTTTTTGGTGGAACAAAAAATATCAAGATTTGTCCCATTAAAATTAAAAATAGTCTCACCTTGTCTCATGTTTTTTTTGTCCATGGCATGCCAAACATGGGACTATTTTTTTTGTCTCGTCCTGTCTCATGTAGTCTGCATATCAAACGCAGTCTTAGAGAACAATACAGTAAATTTATTGGAGCAAAATAGAGAATAAAATCTTTATTTTATTTATTTTAGAGAGAGTATGCTTCTCCATATTACTATATCTCTAGAGTCAAAGAGTCGGCGGAAAATGGGGGAAAGCTCTCTCCTTTGTGAGGAGACACCCTTCTCCCGAAGTTACATAAGTGAAAAAAACGGCTTAGAAATTGATTTACCCATTCAAAGCAATTTACACAAAGGGCCGATCACAAGAATACCAGCTACAGGAACAACCCCTACATTCAAACCCCCTTTTTTACCATTAGCAAGAAATAATACCATTGTGACTGTTACAGATGCACGGGAAAATCCACACTTTTCCAAACCCATAAAAAACTGAAATGGGAAAAGAGATGATAGAGAATCTGTAACTCAATAGAGTGAGTAGGAAACCTTGTAAAGACGAGCGTTGAGAACAAAGAAATTGTTAGTTATCATTTCTCTCTAGTACCAATACGTTTGATGTTGTTTTCTTGATCTACCCAATTGATCAAGTAAGCTTTTCTGATGGTATGCCTCTAGAAATTTCTTAGATATGCTTTGTCACTTTCTTCCAATTGTGTTGATAATTATTATTAATTACTACTAATTTTTAATTGTTATTAACTAATATTAATAGTAAACTATTAATTAATTTATTTTAATTGTCAATTAATAATTACTAATCATATTGATTATTTGTACATTATTATTATTCAAATAGATGTAGCGAGCTAAAAATCAAATATAACGACTCTAAAGATGTTTTTATAAGTTATATGAAAATTAAAATTCTATATTTCTTATGTATCATAAATAAAAGAACTTTAATAAATAGTTTTAATAATATTTAATTTAAACCACAAGGGTAGTGTCTGATTGGTTTGAGTTTGGCTTCAAAGGTTAAAAGTGCCAGGAGGTCACAGGTTCAAATCCAAGAAGGAACAAAAATCCCCTTGTGACCACGGAGGTTCAAATGTGATGACTCCGGGCTATGTGCAAAATAAGTGGTCACTCTGGGATTAGTCGGCTCGCATAGCGGGTTGGATATCCAAATTAATCAAAAAAAAATATTTAATTTAACTATTATTTGTTTTTAAAAAAATTTATTAACTATTAAGATATGCAATCTTTAAAAACTTTTATTTTTATTCATATTATATAAAATCATTAGTTAATGTATTTTTTTAATTAATATTTTTTTACACAAATCGACATTTATAATTAAACAAGCATGACAAATGGATACCATGGTAATATTATACTGTACCAATTTTATTATATTAGTTATTAATTAATCTTTTAAATATTTAGTTATTTATATATTTGTCATTAATTAACATTTAGTTGGGGTTTGTTTTTTAAGAGGTGTTGAAGTCTTATTTTACCTTTGATTAATAAGAGGTAGTGTAGGAGTCTGAAATCTGAATTAATAAAACTGTTTGTTTTTGTAAACTGACAAACGTCTGAAGTCTGAAATCTTAACCAATAGTTTGTTTTTTGTAAAATTAGGTGCAAACATTTTGTAAACTTCTCTTGATTTTCATAAAATTTTCATTGCTTAAATTCATCTCAACAATTGTTTAACAGATGGAACACAATAAAAACCATTTGGATACCTTTCAGACTTCCGATCTTATTGGGAATGTCGCCAGTTTGTTTGCGGAAAGATCGATATTGTTAATAGAGGATAGATCGCCGATAGAATTTCTTGTTTCACATTAATTTTATAAGCTAACCTATACATACAAAAGTTATATATGTGTGTGTGTGTATATATATACAGAGAGAGAGGGGGGCATGCATTCTACATGGGTAATGAAAGGACGGTGGCATCCCTGATGGAAAAAGAAGCAATAACCAAAAAGAATCAAAGAAAATGGGAAATAAGAGGAATTAAGATACTAGTTTACCTCTTATTTATTGAGACCCTATTAAGTGATAAGAGGCTCTGAAAAAAATAAAATAAAAAACAAACAGTCTGAATTACAAAACGTCTGAACAAATCAGACATAAGTGGTAATTAATAGC